GTAGGGCATCAGGCCGCCCTCGTAGGCGCTCTTCAACTTGAAGCCGTGAGTCAGTCTCCCGGTGGCCGTCCCATTCCTCCCGTTGCAGCTGAAGTTGGTCAGACTCTCGTTGTACCTCAGCTCCTTGAAGTCCTTATGGTTCGTCTCTACTCCCCCGGTGCTCAAGTACTCGACCACACCTGGAATGAGGAGGGAGGTACCCTGTCACTGTCAGGGATGGCACAGTGCATGCGTCACATAACGAGATCGTGCAGCGGTGGGCAGTTTTAAACAGCACACACTTTCATTTTCTGAAATGTCTGTCCTCCGCACAAGCACAGCCGCTGGGACTTGTCCAGATCTGATTCTGCACGGCTGTGTGAGGTGGGCTCTGCAGATACATTGTACTTTTTATCCATCTGTTAGGAAGGCTGGAGAGTTCTGCTAGGAGAATGCTGTTCCTGACACAGAAACTGCTCGTACAGGACCCTAAACCAAGCAGATTCTTCTCCGCCACTCAGAGACTCTGCAGTTCGTTACCCAAAGGCAGGAAGAGGGGCTCCAGGCAGCCTGATGAGACGGACTGAAAAACTGGTCTCGGTTCTTTTATTTCTCCTGAAAACCAATGTTAACAGCTTCTTTCCTCTTAATGGCTCTTCTCTACCACGAGAGCAAAAACACCCCACCCCATCACGAGAGCGCACGAGCCCAAGAGCAGTCCCGTGTGTGAGAGTGAATACGCAGTTGGATACAAAGGGAAGGAAGGGGCCAGCAGGCTGTATAGCAGTTAACACACTGGACTCCCATGTGGCTGACCACGGTTCAAGTCCCAGACGTGGCAGCTTGAAACACATGCTGAATGCGTGTGTGTGCGTGCCCAAAATCTTGAGAGGAGAATGGAAGAGAACGGATTGTGGTGTGACCATCCCCTCTGGGGGGGGGCATTTCTTATATTCTGTCTCTCTGGAGAGAGCATGTGCCCTATAGCAAAAAATCTCTCAAAAATGAATGAATGAATGAATGAATGAGATACAAAAGGAAGACACCCTTGGTCTGGCTGCTACCATGGGGCTATCGCTCCTCCTCTGCCCAGCTATGGGAAGTATTCAAGGTCGGGCTCTCCATACTTTTTTTTTTTTTTTTTTGAGAGGTTTTTGCTATAGGGCGCGTGTGCTCGCCAGAAAGACAGAGACAGAGACAGAAAACGAGAAATCACCCCCCAGGGGCGATGGCCACGCCTCAGTCCCTTTTCCTCCATTTTCCTCTCGGGATCTTGGGCACTCACATACATGTGCCCGGCGTGAGTTTAAAATACCGGGTCTGGGACTCGAACCGTGGTTGACTACATGGGAGTCCAGTGACACAGCCATTACACCAACTGCTGGTCCCTCCGTGCTCTTTTACTTTGTGATAGTAAGAAAGATCCTTGTTTGTTTTGTCTTAATTTCCACTTGAGGTTTATTTCTCTAATCAAGTCCCCAGAAGAAACAGATCTGAGGCCCTGTGCCGTATGACCTGGCGTGAGCTGTCATTAATGCTGGGGTCACAGACATGCGGCTCTGACGGCCTTCCCAGCTAGAGGGCGCAGGCTTGGGGACAGTAAGACCCAACTGCGTGCGCTCGGCGAGCTATTTCTGAGCCAGACGGGGCACACCAGTAAACCCACACACCGTGCTCAGCCACGCCGGGCCACATGGGACGGCCCAGGCCTGCGCCAAGGCCTCCGGGTGGAGTAGAAGCACGCCGTGCGACGTGACAGGGCGGCCGAGGGCGGGTGGGCAGCTCTGTGGAGACCCTGCTGGGGTGCCTGTCTCTCATCTCTCTTCTCCTGGAGAGCAAATAAACTTTAAAAAGCAAAGCAAAATAGAAAAAGAGAAATCTTACCTCACGTGATCACCTATGTGTTGACCGAGGACGACCAAGCACAATAAATATCCCTCCCTCCAAACCCTTTCTGAGACGGTCTCCTCACCAGACCAGAGGCTCTAAACCTGCCCGACTGCCACTAACAGAACTTCCCTTCTGACTAAATCTGGACTCTGCAAACCAAGACACGGTTGAGCACGTTCAGTCCAACAGCAGCCTATGTACGGGAGCTGTCTGCTTACCAGAGTCTGGCAGAGAATTGAGGTCTGCACATAGCACAAGCGGGATGGCCCCGGACTCTCCCCGCCCGCCGGGTCGGAGGCTCCGAGAGGCCCTGTCGATAATGTTCTTCACTTCCGAGAGGAACATCATGGTCTGCACCAGCTTCACGTCGGAGAGCTCGGGGTCCCAGTGCATGTGGGCGTTAGCCACGAGGATGAGCTGCCTCTCCGTCCCAGGACGTGGCTTTCCCGCTGCGGAGGTAAAGGGCAGACAGGCGAGACCACCATCAGTCGCATGCCCTCACGGGGTCCCAGGGCAGAGGCCCTAACGTTCACCTAACAGCTTCTCGTCTGCTGACGGAACATTCCTTACTCTACGACACCTCGCCCATCCGGGCCACCTGCCGCTTGTCTGCTAGAGAGCACACACGCTCACCAGGGGGAGACAGAGTGAGAGTCACCTCCCGGGGGGATGGCCATGCACACACATGTGCCTGACGTGATTTTCAAGCCACTAGCTCCGGGACTTGAACTACACGGCTACGTGAGATCCCGCACTTGAATCTCCGCACCACCTGCTGGCCCCACGGTGTGCGTTTAAGAAGGTTCTCGCTGTGCTCCAATCACCCTGCCTCAGCCTCTTCTCGAAGAGCTGGGACTACCAGCGCCCGCCATGGTACACAGCTGGGAGCGGGGCTGGGAGCTGAAGCCAGGCCCTCCTGTGGCTGCGCAGCGGGCCCAGCCAGTGCGTGCACCGTGGCTGAGACAGGATGGCTCAATTTCCCAACAGCTGTCTCCTGGAAACCACTGGCCTTGGTTCAGACACCCTAAGTCAAGGCTCTACTAGGGGCACGCGCGAAGCTCCTCCTGCCATCTCTACCCTCCACACTAACACCCCCGTTCCAGCTGTTCCTTAAGTGACAGAAGTGTCCCTGCTCATCATGTCAGGCGCTCTGAGCGTCCTTGAACTAAGCTGTCCATCTACCCAAGGCTGAAGACCTTCCGAACCACCGCGGTAAGGAGGTCAGGAGAGGGCAGCTCAGTGCCCTTGCTGCCGGAAATCATGCAGTGTAAAGAATTCTCATCCCTGAGCAGCCATTTTAATTAATATTCACTTCAACATTTCTTTCATGTGAAAACTTCTTGACAGAAAAAGTATCTTTTCGCTTCATGCCTTCTGAAGGTCTCCAATACTCTCTAGGCAATGCTTTCTCATTTTAAGCTTTGTGGTAAAGAAAAAGGTGACATTTTAGAAAAGACAAGTTCTCACTGAGTTTCTTCAGGTGTTAAAGAAGACCGTTAGTATAGAGTAAAACGGATTTCTTCTGTTCCTTTGGGAGGTGTCTGATCTGAGCTGCCCACCTCGGGGTCGGTCTCTCAGAAGGTGGAAGGGTCACTCACGCGCCGTTTCGGTCACTTCCTCTCGCAGCTCCAGCAGCACTGCGACGCCAATGTTATCTTTCGTCATGACTCTGTTCAGCATGGCTTCGGACCCTTCGGAGTTTGCCATTGCTAGCTGGTTAAATTCCACAGTATGTTTCTGAACCAAAGTGAATCTGAAACAGAAACGGACACACACACAGTTGGAATCGCGAGGGACTGGCCGCG